CTGTGCCCCTCTGCCCCCGCAGTGCCCAGTGAGAATGTGGCGACCATCGCCGCCTGCGCCAGTGTGATCGAGGGTGTGAGCCGCAGCCGGAACGCTCTGCTGAACGGCGACACCCGGAACTACGACTGGGACTCGGGGTACACCTGCCACCAGCTGGGCTCCGGCGCCATCGTGATCCAGCTGGCCCAGCCCTACATGATCAGCTCCATGAGGTCAGGCAGGGCGCGCGTGTGCTTGGACGCTTGAATTCAACAGCTACTGCTGTTTTTGCAAGTCCTGGGAGGTGTGAGGTGCGCAGTCAAGACTGGCGGCACAGCAGGGGTCTGCAGACCTGCACCTGCAGACCGGTTCAATAAAGCTCTGCCACAGGAAAGAGGGAGAGGAGGGAAAGAGCTGAGGGCTGGGGCGTGTCTGATTGTGTTAGTGTGTTTGTGCTCTTTCCCTCAGTCTCAGTGCACTGATGTAGTGTTCAGACTGTGCTCTCTCTCTGTGACAGTCCCAGCGCAGTGATGCAGTGATCTGGCTGCGCTCTCTCTCTGTGATGGTCCCAGTGCCAGCAGTAATACAGTGATCGTGCTCAGCCTGTAAAGGATGGATACCTGTTTTCGTGGTTACTCAGTTTGACCTTTAACCCTGGTTCAGGTTGTTACTGTGGGACTGTGACGACCGCAGCTATAGCTACTACATTGAGGTCTCCACCAACCAGCAGCTGTGGACAAAAGTGGTGGATCGGACAAAAGTGGCCTGCAGGTCAGACAGTCCTCTCTTTAAACCTATTTCTCTCTACCTCTGGGGCTCTTCTCTCCCTGATCCTGTCTCTGTCTCTCTACCCCTAGGGCTGTTCTCTCCTCTCTCTGATCCTGTCTCTCTCTCTCTACCCCTCTGGGTTGTTATCTTCTCTCTCTGATCCTGTCTCTCTCTCTGCCTCTGTGGGGCTGTTCGTTCCTCACTTTGATCCTGTCTCTGTCTCTCTGCCCCTCTGGGACTGTTATCTTCTCTCTGATCCTGTCTCTATTCAGTTCAATTCAAGATGCTTTATTGGCATGACCACTGAGTAAAACCAGTGTTGTCAAAGCAAAACAAATACAGTTAACATAAAATAAAAATTTAGAGACATTAACAATAAAGACACAATCATAAAATACTTAGAAACATATGGAACACTATTGAGAGACAAGGTCACTGTTCCTCAGGCTGTGACAGGAGATCACATACTGGGCTGCCAGTTCCACTGAGTTCCCTCCTTCCTCTCCCAGTAGGATTGGGACCCGTTGTGATTCTGGCAGGTGAGGGAACTCTGGGATTAGATTTCTGAATTTAGGGAAGAATGTTTCTCTAATCCCAGAGTATCTGTCACAGTGCAGTAGGAAGTGCACCTCTGTCTCTGTTTCTCCCCGCTGGCAGTGGGAGCACAGCCTGTCCTCTCTGGGCAGCCAGGTCTGCCTGTGTCCAGTGTGTGTGTCCAGGCTGTGGTCACTGAGCCTGTCCTCTCTGGGCAGCCAGGTCTGCCTGTGTCGCCCAGTTTCTATGGCCAGGCTGTGGTCACTGAGCCTGTACGTCCTCAGGGTCTGTTTTTTTTTGCTGTTACTTATGTTGGTCAAATATTTGGCTAGTGTGTATTGTCTGTTTAGGATTCTATAGCATTCTAGTCTGTATCTCTACACCTGGGGCTATCCTCTTCTCTCTCTGATCCTATCTCTTTCTCTGCCTCTGTGGGGCTGTTATCTCTACTCTCTAAACCTGTGTTCCCCCTGTCTCTCTGACTGGCCTTGTGTCCTGCAGGTCCTGGCAGACGCTGACCTTTGATAAACACCCAGCCTCCTTCGTTCGCATTGTGGGGACTCACAACACTGCCAACGAGGTGAGAGGATGGAGGGGTTCAGGAGGGAAGTACTCTCAGTACTGTTTCACATTCCCCAAGCTTTATTGGCATGACCCATGAACAATTTAGGACAGTAACGCAGTATCGTTATTCGGGAGACAGCAGATCACATACTGAGCTGCAGCTCTGTTGAGTGCTCTCCCCCAGCAGAACTGAAAACTGTTCTGATTCTGGCACTTGTGGGAATTCTGAGATTATTTTAGGGAAGAATGTCTAATCCCCAGAATATTTCTCACAGTGTATAGCAGAAAGCACAACTCTATCTCTGTTTCTCCCTGCTGACAGTGGAAACACAGCCTGTCCTCTCTCGGCAGCCAGTTTCTAAGCACTTTGTTATGTGCTTGTGTGTGTGTCCCAGTGGGTGAGGTGGTGATGTGGTTGATTTTGATTCGTGTTGCTCTAGCAGTGCTGTCCTGAGGCTGGGTGGTGTCAGTGAGCCTCAGGACCAGCTGGCTGAGGGGGCTCTTCTCTGGGCTCAGCTCTTGACGCGGCAGGGCCTTGTAGCGGGAGGAGTTCTCGTCGCCACTTTTTTAGGTGTAGCCAATAGTTGATTGCTCTCTTCTATATGCTGATTAGTAATGGGTATCAGCCTAATTGGACCCTGCATGCATTGTTAGGTGTTTTTCTCTGTACATGGAGGATATTTTTGCAGAACTCTGTGTACAGGACTTCAATGGCCTGTTTGTCCCATTTGTAATCCTGGACTGTGAGTAGACCCCACACTTCACTGCCATACAGGGCAATGGGTTGGATCACACTTGCAAATAACTGCAGGCAGGCGTTCGTGGGGGGGATTGCTGTGTTCATTCTTGTGTCTTTGCCTCTCTCCTGCCCCTGCTGTCTCCGTGTCCAGGTGTTCCACTGTGTGCACTTTGAGTGTCCAGCCCAGCTCGACGTGGAGGTGAAGGAAGGCAGTCCTGGGCAGAGCTCACCTGAGTCGGGCTCCAGCTCCCAAGAACCGCAGCAGTCCCGCCCCCCCAGGCCCTCGCGGGCTCAGAATCTCCTACTGGCTCCTCCCTCCTCCCCAGGCTCCTGGACGCAATCCCAGCACTGAGCGTCGTGGACACACGGACTCTGGAAAACATGAAGGCCGCTTCTGCAGCACACGTCTGGCCACAGTGTTGTTCGTCCTGGCCTCAGCCTGGGACTCACGGACTCCAGAAAGCACCGCCGCGTGCTCCTGGATTCCCAAACTGCTTTCCCGGTTCTGTGTAAAATCAGGCCGTGTCTCAATCCAGTGACTCACTGCGTGTGGCTGAGCTGTACAGTAACCGTGCTTGTCTGAATGTATATATGCTCCAGGCTAACACACTGATTCCTGTGTTATAGAAAGAATGTGAACTCAGGCCTGCTGGTACTTAATCCAGTCCTTGCTGCACAACGCGTGCAATAAAACACATGCAGACGCGTGTTTCTCTCTTGTGAAGGAAGAGTGCTTTAGAAAATGGTTTAAAGAAACAACATGGCCCAGTTAAAGATAAAAAGATAAAAATATTAGAAAGGAGGAGAGAGATGGACATTAATATTGCAATCAGGCTAAAACAAAATAGAATTTCTTTCACTATAACTGCAAAACAACCATCAAGGATGAGGTCAGATGTGTTTGAGGCAGTGATGGGAAACTTGTAGACAACAAGAGGGAAATGGCTGATTGCTAAACCAGTGTTTCACTCAGATCCTCACTGAGAAAGAATCATCACCAGGCCTCAGGCAGCAGGGGGACACAGTTCTGTATTAAACAGCATCAGGACAGTAGAGGGAGAAGAGTTTCAGGTACTGAAGGACTCAAGATTAATAAATCCCAGGGCTGGTGGTGTCTTACCAGCTGTAGT